CTCAATGTGACCTGCACAGTGTTTCTACTGGACAGTGCCATCCTAGAGTTACTTATTTTGTACCTCTTGCCTTTCATTTCTGGAGTCTTGATGATGGGGGCTGCAGAACTCATTTCAGTCATTTGAGGCTTAAAAGACAGCACTCAGCCTATACACTGCCTGTGCTTGGTTTATTTATTTTAAGTGTGGGCTTTTCACACCCATGAAAGGAGAAGATGAGGAGAACATTTTCTTTTGCCTGCTTAGCACCGGATTCCTCTGAAATCAAATCTTTCTGACCAGAACATAGCAGCTACTTTTCCCTGTGATCCCCACGATTGATCTTTCCTTTCAAACTGGGGGGTGTGCAGACAGAGCTGGTGGGAAAAGAGTTCTTTGCTCTTCTGCCCATGGTCCGTTCTGGAATTCCCAGTGGCCTTTGAAATGTTTAGGAAACTGTTCACCAACCCTTCCACCTGCTGGAGAACCCGGAGCCTCGGCTCCCTGCTGTTGTCAGCAACTGTTGTTGACAAGCCTCTGAACTGTCACGAAGCCAGGAAGAGGTCACGGACTCAACTCTTAAGGAATTTGGGAAATCCAAAGGGAGGCCGACTTTCTGACCTGTGAGGAAATGACCAAGCTGAGTACCCAAGCCAGAAGGCGTGGCTCAGCCTCCAACAGCAAACTCAAGCCGGAGGAGGGAGAAGCTGCAGGGGCTGCTGTGCTTGGGGAGGGCTTCTTCAATGTAGGCACAGTGGCCTGGAGGGACAGTAGGTTTTGGATTGTTCTAAGTCAGTGGTTCCCAACCTTCCTGATGCCACGACCTTTTAATACAGTTTCTCGTGTTGTGGTGACCCCCAGCTATAAAATTATCTTCGTTGCTACTTCATAACTGTAATTTTGCTACGGTTATGAATTGTAATGTAAATATCTGTGTTTTCCGGTGGTCTTAGGCGACCCTGCTAGCAGTTCTCAAGGTATGGGTGTCTACCCACAGGTTGAGAACTGCTGCTGGAGAGCCTGAGACCATTGGAAAACACAGATATTTACATTACGATTCATAACAGTGGCAAAATTACAGTTATGAAGTAGCAACGAAGATAATTTTATGGCTGGGGGTCACCACAACACGAGGAACTGTATTAAAGGGTCGTGGCATCAGGAAGGTGGAGAACCGCTGCTCTAAGGTGTGGGTGTAGGTAGAGGAAGAAATGGGTGCCGCCTGGCCAAGGCAGGGGTCTGGTAGGTGTGGGGTAACCCCTGGGAATCAGTCACAAGTAAGTGTAAGAGAGGTGGGGCGCAGGGACAGATGCTCGGTACCTGGAGCTGGGTTTGATTCGGGGGAAAGCCAATGGTGTGTTCTTGAACGGGGGTGAGACAGAGCTGGACCACGCAAGCCCAGGCTTACCGCTCCCACGGACCCGCAGAGAAGTGCCCATCCTCTCTTTGCCTAAGTGTGGAAAGTGGCACATTGGCAGGACATTAAACCATGTAATGAACCATTACGTAGCCCTTACTCTGTGGCACTTTATTTTTAAATAAATACATAATTCTAAAATAAATACATAATCGCATTGTGGCGAGAAAACTATTTCCCGCTTACAGTGGCCAATTTAAGGAAACATGCGAAGTTAATGAGACTCTACGAGGCAGGTGGATATTGTAAAGCCTAACGGTTCTCACGCTGCATGCAGCAGACGAGTGGCTGCGGCCAGAGGCCTCGGGTCTGCACACAGCAGGTTTACGAAGCAGAGGCAATGCAGGGTGGTCGGAGGGTGGAGAAACAGTGGCAAGGAGCCCTATCCGGTTCGGTTCAGTGGATGGAGCATCGGCCTGAGGACCAAAGGGTCCCAGGTTCGATTCCGGTCAAGGGCATGTACCTTGGTTGCGGGCATATCCCCAGTAGGGGGTGTGCAGGAGGCAGCTCATCAATGTTTCTCTCTCATCGATGTTTCTAACAATCTATCCTCTCCCTTCTTCTCTGTAAAAAGCTCAATAAAATATTTAAAAATAAAATAAAAAAAATAAAATAAAATAAAAAAGAAACAGTGGCAACGAGGCCAGTTAGCCAACTTCCAGGAGTGAGAATGGAGAGGAAACAGGAGAGGCATCAGGCAGCTGTTGCATGTGTCTGCCTGGGGTCATCTGTGATGCCCATTTCAGGCACAGACTCCTTGTGGGCGGCAATGGTTCTGTACAGAGAACGTGGGCAGGTCCCAAGAGCTAACTCATGATGGAAAGCTGATATTTATCTGACAGTGGACCACAGTCCTAAGTCCTTCAATCACCCTCTTTCATTCCTCACAACAACCCAGTGCAGTGTCTGCCATTATTCCCTGCAGAGGGGGCTGAGCTTCGAGAGGTTAAACTTGCCCAAGGCCACGCGGCTGGGAGACTCAAACCCAAGTTCGTCTGACTGCAAGGCCTTTCACCAGCACATATACTGCCTCCTTCTTGGTTGGCACTAATGGCATCTTGCGGCACATCCTGTTTCTCACATTTCTCCCTCATTTAACCTAGGATATGGGTTTCTATGACGAAGCTTGGAATTGGATTCATCTCTCTAAGCACCAGAAGCCACAGCCATTCTCCAGCCCATAAACCCCATTCCTAACCCCTGTGCAGCATATTCATAGATCCGATTCCATGGTTAATATCGTCATGAAAGTGGCTCTCCTTGGCCCTTTAAGAAGCTCATTAATCACTAACTATAGACCACAACTCGTTCTTTTCCACCCTCCTCATGCTGCTTCCCCCCATTGTGTGATGCCATCTGGTGCTATGAGATCATGCTTTTTGTGTTCCTTCTCCGAGAGCCAGATTCATTGCTCTCTAAACCCGGAGAGCCAGTGAATTCCAACGGCATGCCTGGCTTTGAAAAACATTTGAATCTAATGCCTCCTTGTGGACTTGCACAGTATGACGCTTGACCATACCATCACATGGAACTTCTGTCTTACCCACCCTTCGGGTACATGTGTCCGCTCTGTCTTTTTTATCAAAAGGACCTCATTTGTCTTTGGTAAGCCATCAAGAAACTACAGGTCTTTCTTGCATGATCTGTGTTCAGCTTTATGTGTCAGTTGCGTGTGTGTGCTGGAGGAAGCCAGACCTTGATCATACGCTTTCCTCTCGTGATCTGTTAGATTTTCAGCTGCGACAGTGGAACAAGCTTTTCAGAACAAGGACATGAAACAGCACATAGCAGGCCTCTGACATGGCTGCTGATCTGTCCTTCACTCCCACTGTCCCTTCCAATTCTGCCCGGAATCTCTAATCGTCTCCAAGGGACGGGAGCATCGGGGCTGGAGAGCATTTTCTTGCAAACTCAGCTGAGGAGCCCTGGGCTCACCACCAGACCCCCAGCCTCCGGGATCTGTGAGCACTGCTGGTTACTCCTGTCCAGGGCAGACCTTGCCACTCTCCCCGCCTCCTTTCTCTTCTCACTTCAGGGGATCCTGGCAGGTTAAATTTAGCCTGGGGGCCTGGTAGGGAAGGAACGGTACCCGTGGTGTATGTGCACTGCTTACTTCATTCTTGGCACCAGCTGGACTCCAGTAGGGGGAGGGGGAGGGTACTGGGCAGGCTGCTCCCCTCCTTTCTGCTACTCTCCCTGCCCACTGGGATTGCGCCTGTTCCCAGCAAGAGCCAAAGGAGGATCTGGGCCTGAGGGTATTTGCAATGATATAAAAGGGACCCACACACTTCCTTCCCTAGCATAGGAGTTGTCCCCCAGCCAGCCCCTCTGAGTCTAGAGCAATTTCTCCCCAGTCCACACCCCATCACCAGCATTAGGTATACTTACTGAAATTCCACTGATTATCTTGCATTTATAAGGATTTTTTTTTCTTTTGGAACAACTGCCAGGATTAAAGGATGAACATTCACCCACATCTCTTTTAAAAATTAATCTAATCAGATTGCATTTATCCCGGCAACTGACTGAGATAATTTACCATGGAAGAAGGAAGTCCTGTTGTGTTTTAATTTGAAGGGAGGGTAGATACTCTTATAGGATTCAGAAGGCTTTAAGGGGAAAATAGTCCCATATTAAGTTATTCAGTAGAAGTATGGGTTGGAAGCGAGGACAGCAGAAGGTACTAGATAAAGTAATGGATATGCTTGGCTTGCCCATTTCAAAATATTGTGCCTCGGGCAGGGAATTTTTCAATATCACCCTTTCTGCCAGGACCCAGAGTCCAGTTCAGTGAAATTCACGTGTAGGAATTATGTCACGTGGCCTGGGGTTAAATACGCTCTTGCGATTGCCTGAATACCTAATCACCACCTCAGCCACCTAGCAGAAGGTTGTCTTTATGGAAAAATGTCTCTGGTTTCCAAAAAACACACTTCCTAATGAACTTTTTGATGCAACCCATGTGAGAGTTAAGGGTTGGACCAGATTCAGACCTATGCAATTTATCTGTGTTAACTTACTATTTCAAGCTCATTTCTCCCAACCATCTGTATACTTTTAGGCCATTTCCCCTGGAGGAGTTTTGCACATGCAAGAAAAGGAGTTTAGCTCTTTATCCAATTGAATACATTCAAAAATGAAACATTGAGTTTTGTTTTAAAAAGATAGCTCACTGTTGCCCTAACAGGTTTGGCTCAGTGGATAGAGCATCGGCCTGCCGACTGAAAGGTCCCAGGTTCAATTCCAGTCAAGGGCATGTACCTCAGTTGTGGGCACATCCCCAGTGGGGGGTGTGCAGGAGGCAGCTGATCGATGTTTCTATCCTTCTCCCTTCCTCTCTATAAGGGAGCAATAAAATATACTTAAAAAAAAAAAAAAGAAAAGAAAGGAAGCACACTGTAAAAAAAGAAAAGAAACACGATTTAAACAATTATTTTATATTTTAGGTTTTTACTGCTCTGACTGGCCTCTATTAATGAAAATAATCGAGACATTCCTACGCCCTCCCCCTTCCCACTCAGTCTGGAAGATGTTCCTTGGCCTGGGGCCTCCAGAACTCTATTACTGATGCAACTACTAAATCACATCTCTTGTTTGCCTCCAGGTATTGCGCAGCGGTGCACGGCGATCAAGTACCACTTTTCCCAGCCAATCCGCTTACGAAACATCCCTTTCAACTTAACGAAGACCATCCAGCAGGATGAATGGCATCTGCTTCGTGAGTACTTCTGGGGAAGGGCCAGAGAGAAAATGATGTCTTTCTGAACAACAAGTATTCGTAGGCTTGGACGGAAAGATGCTGTGTTGTGACCCTGCGTGGGCCTCGGGGCCAACTCGACTTGGTCAAGACTCAGGGAGTCGTTTCCCTGTGCCGTGGTCACACCTCGCTGACACATCAACTGTGTGCAAACCAGGCATAAGGTTTCCCATAAGACAGTGCGGCATGCGTGGTGCCCCGGTGACTTCCTGAGTCCTTTCTCTCCTGAGTCCTTAGGAATAAGGACCTGCAGGTGGAGGGCCACTTGTCTTCTTACACCAAGGAGGTTGCACCTTCGGTTCTGTTTCTGTTTGGCTTCTATGCTATTCCCTGTAGCTGCTGTGTCTGTCTCAGACCCCGGTGTTTGTGCTGCCCTGTTTGTATGAGCGTATGTCATACGCTTCTCAGAGGGTGCCTGTTACCTCTGCATTTCAACGGCAGATTGCTCCCCTTTTTCAAGGTTAGGAAAACGTGAAACCCTAGAAAGGACCATGCAAGGTGATGCTTTAAGAGGGCTGGTGTTTCCTTGAAAACTGTTGGTCTATGCTGCCTGGTGAGAGATAACTCGGGAAAGCAAAAAACGAATGCATCTAACAGCCTAGCACAGGTGTGCACAGACCTGTCCCAAAGCCTGCAGACCTATCTTCTTTGGGACCTATTGTTTTAAGAAGCTAACGATTTTAAAAATTGACTTTGTTTTAAAAAAAATTTTTTAAAAAGCAGAGGGAAGGAAGGAAGAGAACAGAAAGAAGCAAAGCTGGCAGGACAGTCTGAGTGCTGCTTTAGGGTAGCAATCAGAGTGGAAAGGGGTCCAGGTCCATGGAGACAGTCCGCCTCTTGGTCTTGCCTAGAAGGTGGGGGAGGGGCTGTGTACCTGGCCCGGCGATCACAGTTGTGTTTTTGTGATAGAACAACCCTGACAGCTGTGGACGCAGTGGGAGTACCCCCTCCTTAACCTGGGGCCCGTGTGTGAGGGGAGAGGGTGGCTGTGAGCAGATGCCTCCTATGCGCATTGTGGGTCCTCTATCAGTCACCGCAATGGCCTTCACTTTCTCCAATCCTTTTTGGAAATAGGCAGGAATCGATACAAATGGAAAAGAAAGTAGCTGGCATCCGTGGTGCTCAGGTGAAGCCGTATTTCACTGTAACTCGCTTTTCAGGCTCCCTCTCCAAAGGCAGATCAATCACAGCCATTGCCGTGGCGGAAACCTGCATTTCTGTTGCGCTTGTAGAGATAATGAAGATATTTTGCACACCTGCCTTGCTCTCAGTGTACTCGGGGACTTGCTATCTGTTATCCACGTTGACCCTGGCGCTGTCCTCTGGTCTCTCAGTAGACTTCTCCGGACTCACAGAGGGTAACTCCGACCCCTCGAGGTGTGACACCCCATCTGCCCTCTTAGGGAATGGGAAGAAAGGGCCCTAAACCTCGATCGTGTAGGCCCTAAGCCTGTCTGTGCAACTTGTTGATTTTCATAACATATACAAAGCTCTTCTTTCTCCAGTTTTCAAGGACTCTCCTTCTGCTCATCATGTGTGTTGGATGTGTGTTTGTGTTTCGAGATTAGATCTGAGAAGAATCACTGCCGGCTTCCTGGGCATGGCCGTGGCCGTCCTGCTCTGTGGCTGCATCGTGGCCACGGTCAGCTTCTTCTGGGAGGAGAGCCTGACCCAGCACGTGGCTGGCCTCCTGTTCCTCATGACAGGTACGAGAGCCCCTCGGCGCCTCTCCCCGCCAAAGGGAAGGCCGCTCTGGAAGCCCCTGGCCTCTCTTGGTGATCGCTTCATTCATTCTGTTTTCACTTGTGAGAAAAGTGGCCCGAAGAAGCTTCCTGGGCTTGGGTGGGTAATACAGAATTTAAAGAAACAACAGTGTTCAAAATGCACTCCCAATTTCTTTGTTGAGGCCCATTCGAAGGTTGGATGGAAATATCTTGGGATTGAACTCCATATGAGTCAGCTCTGATTTTTCTATCCCATTTTTGCATACTGCACCCATCCCTGGCTGGACTCTCGGCAAACAAGGAGCCCTGAGGAGAGAGAGGGTCATAGATCTGCATAGCCCATCCTCCTCCCGTCTCCCGTCCCCCCCCCTGCCCAGGCTGAAAGTCAACTCCAGTGACATCCCTTAGTGATGGGGTCATCGGTGTCATGTTTCGACACAAAACCTTCATTCGTTTCACCCCACACATGGTTTTTGAGGACTCACTGTGTACCACACACTGCTCTAGGCACTAGAGACACACAATGAACTAGGCTCTTGGCCGGCAAACTGTGGCTTGAGAGCCACATGGGGCTCTTTGGCCCCTTGAGTGTGGCTCTTCCACAGAATACCACGGCCTGGGCGAGTCTGTCTGTATTGAAGAAGTGGCGTTAGAAGAAGTTTAAGTTTAAAAAATGTGGCTCTCCAAAGAAATTTGTATCACTGTACTGTTGATATTCGGCTCTGTTGACTAATGAGTTTACCGACCACTGAACTAGGCAGACAAAATCCTTCTCCTTTTTTGTTGTGGAGAGACATAAACTATTTATGAGAGTGGTAAAAGCTAGGAAGAAAATAAACAGAGTGGAATAGGGGAACCCGGAAGGTCTCCCTGAGGCAGCGATTTCTGAGCTGGTCCGGAGGATGCTGCAGCTGAGGAGAGCGGGGGTGGGGTGAGGATGGGGGGCGGGGGCAGGCGTATTTTGCACCACAGAAAGCAGACCAGTGTGGCTGGGGGCAGGGAAAGAAAGGGGAGGATCACATGAGAAGCAGGCGGTGGCTTGGATTTAATATGTCAGTGATGGAAGTTACCAGAAGGTTGTAAGCAGAGGAGTGACTTTGTCTTAAATCAGGAGGTTGGAAGGGGGTGGGTGGAGGGTGGAGGTGGAGACACAACTATGGCTTTTTTGATTAGCAGGACAAGGACATTTTCGTCTGAAAAGGAGTCAGGGCAAACACTGAATGCAGGGAAGAAATCTTCCCACCTGTTCCTTATCTTATCCTTACCTATATAATAAAGAGCTAATATGCTAATTAGACTGAACAGCAGAACGACCATCCAGAGGACTGATTGTCTGGATAGCCTTCCTGACAAATCTGGGGCTGTGAGGGCAAAGTCCCTTGCATGAATTTCATGCATTGGGCCTCTAGTTATAGAATAAGAGGTCTGGAACAGCAAAGAATCACAAAAAAGAATTAGTGTGTGCATGATTTGTGAATGCCAAATTAATAGTGTCACAAACTCTAGGTAAGTGGCCATTTATAATAATAAAAGCATAATATGCAAATTGACTGAACAGCTGAACAGCGGAACCACCATCCATCCTTCTGGACGAACTTCCACTGCAGTCATGGGGTTGAGGCAGCTGCTGCAGCTGTGAGGGAGAGATTGAGGCACAGCCCCTGCTGTGAAGGCCTACTCTTGCATGAATTTCACTTATTTCTATTAACCCGGAGTTCTGTTACTCAAGTGACCACACCTGGGTTTTTCTAGCACTTCTCAGGGTAGTGGTCACCCACACAAGCCTTGTTAACTAGAAGCAGCAGCGCCCTCTGTGGGTGACGCTGGTTTCTTTCTGTTTGTCTTCCAGGGCTGACAGGTAGGTGGCACTTTGCTTTCTGGTGTGCTCGACCCATCAGCCTAGGAAACTCCCACCTGCCCCTTTTCCCGCCCTGTCAGCATGGGGGCCATCATGTCAACATCCTGCCAGAGCATTCAGAAGCCACGTGGTCCCTGAGTAGTTGTGAGCAAAAAAAACAATTTAGGTTTTCCCCGATTTTGTTGAATACACATCAGAGCATGGGAGGCTAAAATTCTAGTTCCTGTGGTTTTGGAGGGGGATTTAAACCCTCAAGACTGGTCATCAGGTGCAAGCCTGAGGGATTCATTTAAAATCCAAATTATAGAATAAGTGGGCCAGGACCACAAAGCATCAGAGTGCTGCCCAGAGAATTCCTTTCTGCCTCTGCTGGGGCTCCCTGGTCATAAAAAAATCCTCCCAATTTTCCTCTCTCCCTTTATTAGCTGAGCCCCCATTTTCCTGACTCTTGTCCCCATATACATGAAATAAATGCAGATTCACCCCCTTGACCCCCAACCCTGGGCAGGTCCACATCACGTCCCCTGGTCAGGAAAATGAGAGAAGCTATGGGTGACAAAAGCCTGAGTTTTATTGTCCATCACTTTATTGTACTTCATGGAGGTTGCTTTTCTTATAAATTGAAGGCAAGACACTCTCCTGGCAAAGATTATGATTCACTTTATTGTGACACTCACTCTATTGCGGTGGTCAGGAACTAACCCGCAATATCTCAGAGGTATGCCTGCAGTTTTTAAAGGACACTTTTAATGTGGTTAATACATGAATAATTTAGCATATAAAACAACTTTTAGCAATAAAATAAATCACAGGGACCTAAAAGCCAGGCTCAGTGGATTTTCCTTGGGAGACTGAGGGGCTGGTTTGGTACTGAATGAAAGAAGGGTAGGAGTTCAGTATTGGGTTGGCTCAGAGGAGAGCTAGTTTCCTGAGCTGGCTCCACCTGTCCCTGCTCAGCCCTTCTTTCTGATTCACACGTCCACTGTAACTTGGGACCATATTAGTCGACTGTAACTTGGGGCCAGACTAGCTCAGGGGTTCTCAGGCTTTGTGACGGAAAGCCCCTGTGCAATTGTTAAATAAAAACAAAATCACAGTCACAGTAATAAAAATCCATAACAACAATAACAAACTTATAAACCTGAAGTTTGATCACCATTCCTGAAGGATGGAGAGACACAACACAACATTGTTTTCCTTCTTGTGCTTTTGGTTGTCCAAACAACATTTTTGGAATAAAGGAAAAATTCACTTATAGATGCCATCCTCTAACAAATTAGATTGTTTAATTATTTTTCTTGCTCATTAGGGAGAGAGAGAGAGAGAGAGACATTTGTGACCATCATCACATGGAAAGTATTTAGTCTTCTGGGCTACCATTTACCATCATTCCCTCACCATTCCCCATGTCACTACATCATCCTCCACTCAGTGATTAATAGCTGTGTGTTCTTCCATGAAGTGGCTATGCTGTGTTTGCTATGTTGTAGTCATCTGTTTCTTTACTGTGGGATTCCTGGATGTTTGTTTTATTTTGCTACTACAAATGCCTCTTTGTATTTGTTCCCCCCCCCCCCATTTTTTAAATTATTGTATTATATGTGTATATGTCTTCCCATTGCCCCCCACCCCGCACTCCACTCCCATAATGCCCTTTGTTCCCTTTGTAAACACCAACATAACTATGTGAATCCCCTGCAGGAGATTCATTAGCCTCAGCAGGACCGAAAAGCCCTAAGGGTTAAAAGAAAAAATGAATTCTAATTAAGCAGAAGTGTCTTCAGCAGCCCTTGTCAGAATCACGCCCACAGATTTTTGATGCTAAACTTAGCCCCTTCTAATGTGCTGGCGTCTTCATTTTCCACCTGAACTTATTAGCCAGACCTTCAGTGAGGAGCATCAGCGATGTGACAGTTTGAGATCTCCCTCCGCCTGCCTATTGCATACCGACAGGCCTTGACTCCCGACCCGTGGAACAGAGTGCTGCCTGCTGTCCGTTCTCCCCGGGGAGCCAGGTTCTCTCCCCCTCCCTTTTCCCTGGGGCCTCTCAGAGGGTGCTGCAGAAGGACCAAGGCCAGGCCTCATATCCCCCCAAGGGCTGCAAATGTAGACCTTTGGCTTCCTGTCCTGTGAGGAGGCGACACGTGCGGTCACAGAGGCATCAGAGGAAGGAGGGAATGAGACACTCACCTAGTTGTGACCTGCTGCCTGTCATTGGAACTCATTGCTTCCAGGACACTGGGAAGCAATATTCCCATCAACGTCAAATGATGCCTTCAATTTGGTGGCCATAGTCATATCATTATGAGAATGTGTTGTTATAAATGTAAATATTTTGAGAGAGAGATAAATAAATGTAAATATTTTAAAGGCTTAATCTGTTCAATGAAAACATTTAAAAAAATTTTTTTCAATTACAGTTATATTCCATATTATTCTGTATTGGTTTCAGGTGTACCATATAGTGTTTAGACAATCATATGCTTTACGAAGTGTTTTCCCCAATACTTCCAGTGTCCACCTGGCACCATCCATAGTTATTACAATATTAGTGGCTATATTTGCTCTGTTATACTTTATATCCCCAAGGCTATTTTGTAACTACCAGTTTATACTTCTTAATACCTTCCCCTTTTTCACCCATTCCCCAACCCTCTTTTCTTTTGGCAACATCAGGCTGTTCTCTGTATCTATGAGTGTTTCCATTTCAATGTCAACATTTTTAAATACTTTTTTTTTAAAAATACATTTTTATTGATTTTTAGAGAGAGAGGAAGAGAGCAGGATAGAGAGAAACATCAATGAGAAAGAAACATCAGCGATAGGGTGCCTCCTGCATACTCCCTATTGGGGATTAAGCCCCAAATGCCATCATGTGTCTTGATCGGGAATCACTGGTGACCTCTTGGTTCATGGGTCAGTGCTCAACCATTGAGCCACACCGGCCAGGCTAAATACAACTTTTGTGTCTTGTTGTAGGGTCCTTATTATCTTCTAATATACTGGTCCTACCTTGATGGGGGTCTCATTGCCCACTGTGTGCATTTTATGCCCTGAGTGGCCACAGTGACAACAGATAAAGGGGAGACAAGAACCCAGGTGGACCCAGCAAAGCTCAAGAACA